TAGGATAGATATATAGTTACATTCTCTTAATGAATAGAATGATTTGTTCTAATGGTGTTTGTAAATAGGATCTCAAGTCCGCATCTTGTTCAGCACTTAACCACTAAGAAGAATATATGCAGTGTGTTATTTGTTGAATCTGTACTTCCAATTTGATTTGAGACTGTCTCATTGCTGTTTATCAATAAAATTTTGAAAAAAAAAGTATGTCTTATTTAAGGTGACGCTACAACTAACTATCACACCTTAGATAAGAACATTTATGATTCATTGAATAGTTTTTAAATCACAAAATATATTTCACTATAAATTTTATGAACTTTCTGTAATTTTAACATTTTGGACATAGGCTTAGTTCTTGTATCTAGTGTGTGTTTCTTATTGTGAGCATATCTCTTTCAGGTTCTTGTTGCTACTTCTTTAACAGGCTTACTGGAAAAACTACAGACCTGCAATGAACTTTTGGAGAAAATTTTGAAAGGACTTAATGCATATCTGGAAAAGAAACGTCTTTTCTTTCCTCGGTATGGTTGATAATCAGCTAGGCTATAATTTGAAGCATTTTCTGGCATCTGATGAATTACCATTAACACTTTTTGTATTTGTATGTTTTCCTCTAGTTTTTTCTTCTTATCCAATGATGAAATGTTAGAAATTTTGTCAGAAACCAAAGATCCACTTAGAGTTCAGCCTCATTTAAAAAAGTGCTTTGAGGGCATTGCTAAGTTGGAGTTCCTTCCCAATTTGGACATTAAAGCCATGTACAGCTCTGAAGGGGAGCGAGTAGAGCTGATTGAACTTATTTCCACGTCTGCAGCCCGAGGTGCTGTAGAAAAGTGGCTCATTCAAGTGGAAGATCTAATGCTCCGAAGCATTCACGATGTGATTGCAGCAGCCAGGCTGGTATGTTTCTCTCGATTCAATGTCTCCCTCACATTCTGCAAGTGCTGTGTTTTAGGAGGCTTTGACTAGGTGTCAGTAAGTTAATACTTAACAATTCATGGTATTTTAAATAATATATCCTTTATTTCTTTGTTACTGACATTGTATTAGCAAGTATTGAAAGTAATATATAATTAAGCATTACGAAGGAAAATATTATGAGAAAATAAGAGATATATTAAGTTAAAATGAACTGGGTATGGTGGCTGGTCCCTGTACTCCTAGCCCTCAGGAGGCTAGGCAGGATCACTGTGAGTTTGAGGCCAGCCTGAAGTGCATAGCAAAACCCTGTTTCAAAAAGGAAGACAACTAGCGCCCTCATCCGCCATGTTTTCAGGCCGAATCGTCTTCCCCGTAAGGAAAGGGCCAGAGGCGCCTGGGCTGACAAGGCAGAGCAGCGGGAAACCCGAGCAATTCTGCCCGGGAGGGAGACCATGGCGTCTAGCAGTAACAGGCTGTCGGGTGTGAATGTCGTGCTGGTGATGGCCTACGGGAGCCTGGTATTTGTACTGCTGTTTATTTTCGTGAAGAGGCAAATAATGTGCTTGCAATGAAATCTAGAAGGGGACCTCATGTACCTGTGGAACACAATGCCCACAAGGACTTGAAAGAGGAAATTGATATTCGACGGTCCAGGGTTCAAGATATCAAGTACGAACTGCAACTCCTTGCAGGTGATGATACAAGTCTGCTACAGCTGGAAACCCAGGGAACTCAAAGTTCCTACAACTATCTGTACAGGATGAAAGCTCTGGATGCCATCCTGCCTCTGAGATCCCATTTCAGGCTGAAGGCCGACATCCTCATTCTTTAATGGGCAAGAATTTCTGCTTCTACTTGTTGCGCGCAGCCTTGCCAGCAAGGAAGACGCGACCACTGGTTGTGTCTGCGCAGCCTTTTATTGCCCTGTTACATTTCTCTTCTCTCTCCCCGAGGCCCCTACTCTTAGCTTATAAGTCTCAGGGCTTCCAATCATGGGGTGCCACGTATGCACTGTCCATTGGTCCAGGTATGCGGAAGCAATGCATTAGCCCAAGCCTTGGCCTTATATGGAGTTGTTTATTACTAGGAGCGCTCACCCCCTGAGAGGGTGGAAGGCGGA